GCCCACAAAATAGCAGTAGATGCTTTTTCTTTGTAAATATATAATCTACAACATGCGTTCAATTTCAGTAACTACTGAAACCCTCTTCAAGCCAATTATCCAAGTAAGAAAAAAAAGTGCCTGACCCTTCTGATGATTCTGCTGTGTTTTTAAATTCACATTCTGCAGTGAACAGTTTCAAACACACACACAAAGCACCCACACACAGGCGTGCACGGACAATCAGACACGACGAATGCCAGACAACGCTGCAGAGTTGTGATGTAATTAGACTTGTTAATTGGAAACGAGCCTTTCGCCACCTGCGGCAGCGAGGGTGTGAGTTTGTGGTCATCTCTATAGAAATGGTCCTGTTAATTGTTTTGGTTTCCAGGCAGCCACGGTGGGGGAGAAATGTGACAATACCATTTTTCTAGTTGCTCTCAAGTTACAAAACAAACTGCACAGAGCGCCTGCATAAAGGGATGTTGAGATCAATTTGCTAGGATTACTTTCATAGGACTGGAAATTTAATTCACAGCCATTGAAGAAAGAAGACACACTTGAACATCAGCTGAAGGAGAGCAGCCAGTCGACTGTGCACTAACCACCTGCGTTCCCTGACAGGCAGAAAGATGAGGAACATATTGTTAGACAAGAGAAATATTTGACATCAAAACACAAAGAAGCGTTTTGATAGTTTCAGCGGGTGAGGAGCATAAATGTTATTATGATTTAATGCAGGCCAAGTACCTCCACCCAAAGGCTCTCCTCTAACAACATTAGCTTTTCTGAAAACTTGGCATCGCTGCTCCATTCTCTTCACAGCAGACAAATCATCCTGAATATAAATTTCTTCTGACTCTTTACTTTCTCTTGTGCCGTTAATCCTGTTTTGAATGTGCCTTGTTGGGGATGCTAACATGCATTGATTTATCTGGGCTGATCACAGAATCACAGCAGCTAATTAATCATTTAAAGAAGCAAATTATGTGGTGGTCAGATCATAGTTTGCAGAGGAGAAGTGGTTCAGACTGTCTGAACCTATGGTGTTTCATTTCCAGACAGATATGGATTTCATAATGGATAAACACAGACTCACTGTCTGCTTCATTTCCCTCTAATGAGAAAAATCTGTTGACTCTTCCTGTTTTTCTAATTCTACTTAAAACGACTGGAGTCTCCCACACGAGGGCGGGGTCGTGGCTTTGCTGAATACACAGAAGAAATACACATTATATCTGCCTGAGCCTATGAAATGAATGATGATGAATGCAATTTACAATATGCAGGGAAAACATATCCCACTATAATTTCTCCCTATTAAAATCAAGATGAACACACTTGCTTTCCTCCAACTTTTTAAAATAGAATTTACAACAAATAACATTCACCTTATTGATTTGAAACTGGTTTCACTTGAAAACTTTTGTCATTATATTTCAGT